GGCTGACAAGAGCCTGTAGAAGTGATGAGCAGATGAGATGCTGCAGCTGAAAAACTCAGGCAGCATGCGTTGGGCCGCTGTGAATAACGGAGCGGCATGGCAGTTCGGTATTTCTTCTAGTGCATTTGGCATCACCTAGTACTTGTTCTGATGAAATGACTGTTGTGTGTTCTCATAAATATCTTGAGTGTCAGGCAGCATGTTTAGAACAGATCAGAACTCCTCTACCAGTTTAGATGTGCTTACTGGTTTTCTCACACCAGTGCAGTTAAAGCTGGCCAGTCTTTTTTCCCTTGCCTTCTGACAGTGTCAGTGCATTCAGACACCGATGCTACCATGACAGGACAGCTTCTGGGTTACCTTGCACAGCACGGCCATCCCTTCTCCACAGTGCTTGGACCTAACTAGACCAGAGTTCTGAGGCATGCTGATACGCTTTTGTTCTGTGCTCAGCTGCGTTGCCTCAGAAAAATGAAAAAGGCCATACTGTTTACAGTGTCCCGTTTCCTCAGTTGATTTCATGTTGTGAATCGCTAGAATTTTTTGGTTGAATCTTAAACATGTGAAATATTTTGTGTAAATTCTAGGGAGCGGTCCTTAATCGTCTCTCGCAAAACTCACTGGTTAGCATTGCGTTGATGACCTCTGCCTAGTCCTCATGCTGAGTGATGCTCAGTGTGTTAGCAAACAAAACAGACAAAAGGAAAATGCGAAAATGCGATCTAAAAAGATGTGAACAAACATCTGCAGAGTTCTCATCTCCTGAATAATAAGCATCATTCTACTATATTCCTTCCTTAGTATTCTCTGTGTATTTGTCATCCCTTGCTGTGCTACATCTAATTTACAATCTAATCCCTACCAGAAAAAGAACCTGCAAGTTTTATTTGCCTAGGTACTATGCACACACAGTTTAAATGTTAAAATGTTTAAATAATGGGGAAAAAAATAGAGTGGGCAAAGATAGGAGTCTCTCCCTGCAATTCACCCCTCCTTCTCCATTCTTCCGTTAATCATGAGTTAATAGCGTGACAACTTTAAAATGAATGAAGCAAAAACCTACTTAAGAACAAGGAGGAAGCTTACAAACCCACTGTAATTTGCAGATGAGTTGAGATGTGTTAATAAGTGCAACCCTAGTGTATTAATTAATTTGCATTAGCACTTAGCCTCGTGTTTCTATAAAGATTTTGTTCCCCTGGATTTTAATTTTGAATGTTTCCTAAATAAAACTGCCATGGCGATAGATAATTTTGTTTGGAACATCAGTTCAATGAAGCTGATGAATAAATGCATCTTGAATTTCCCTAAGCAAACTGCATTCAGATTAGTGGTATTTATTGATTCTTTTTATTCTTTTTTCCACTGTGTCTCTTCTCCTTTGTGTTTGTTCTGCTGGAAGTGTTGAGTAAGTAGCATTAGGTATGATTAGCCCAGATATTCTTCCAGAGGGTAGGTTCATCAATCTAGCTTCATTTGAATGGCCAGTGTGTGACGCCAAACTGTTGTTTGATTTTTAGAGGTAATGTTGCTAATAAAACAAATTAGGCAACGTCCTTCAGATGGGTAAAGTGAAATGTAAATTAGAAACCATATCTCGTTTGATTGTTGCCTCTTAACTCATATGAGCTGTCCTCCCTCATGATGTAACTCTTTCCACGTTTTGATTGCCCATGTTTCTAATTATATCACTTCTTACTGGCTTATCACTAAGCAATTTTTGAAATGTCATAGTGCATCTGTGATCCCTCACCATTACAGCTTTGTGTTAGAACCTCAATTAATTCTGAAAATCAGATTCCTGCTCTTTTTGTCAACGTGCAGCTATTGTAAAAATTCTAACTCTGTCTTTCTAGATCCTTTATATTCATCAAAGTTTCTTGCACAGTTGCGTGACTGTAAAATGCTCTTCTTGGTACAGAATGATACACAAGAGACTTAGATTTCATAGCCCTTCTATTTGTGGTGATAACCGTGAAAACATTTACCGCGTTTCAAGCCTCACAATATTATTTACCTGCATGTGCAGCCAGCCTGAAACATCTGTAGCTAGTCTGATGGAGATAAAACAGGCAATTCAGAGTTCCTTGGATCCCCCTCACATTTCAAGCCTTCTGTGAGGGATTTTCCAGAGTTCTGCATATTTGCCACAAAATTTGTCTTTTGTCACACTTTTTAAATGTTGTTTTCTGGTTTCATGTCCTACTAGAAAATATTGGCAGTAGTTTCTTACTCTCCGAGTTTGCTTTCCTGGAGAAATATTGAGGTTACATTACATTCCTAAAAATCGATCTTATTACCTAAGACATAAAAATGTATTTAGGGCATGCAAAGAACTTCATCATGTCCTGCAGCAACTGAAGAGAGGAGAGGGATTAAAGTGGAATTGCTTATTAGTTCTCTCAGCCTCCTTTAATTCTGAGAAACTGAGAGAGAAGAGGAGATGAGTCGTAGACAAAAATTATATAGCATATGTTGGGTTGGGATGTATGATTTGTAGATTTTGACCTACTAGCACCTATGGGTACTTTAGCCAGTCACAATGTGATGAAAAATTCAAAAGGACCCCCTTTCTGATCATATAGATATTACTGAAGGGTGCGCATTAAGTAAAAAAGCATAGTAGAAGTACTGCAACTTTTTAATCAGATTATCTATGGCAGAGAGGCTCTGAAAATATAAAAATATATAACCTTCCTCAGTTGAAGGACTGTGGCATTTTGACACTTTAAACAATTGCTATATTTGTATTGCTTTACTGAAGGAATATTCACTTTATCTTCCGTAAGAAATAATGGAATATATGTCTGTGCAAGATTACCTATTTCTTTCGTTCCACTACTGTATTCGAGCAGTTTGTAAGTAATTAGAATATGAGAATGAAAGGGTAAATTGCTGGAGTCTTCCCTAATCCTGTGGCAGTTGTACAGCATCTTTCCAGGCATTCCAGAAACAGGAATTTGTTTTCATTGACCTCACCCACACTGAGTACTTGCTGCCAACTAAAATCATTTCAGCAAGATGTGGCATGTAAAGTGGTTTTAACAATTTTACTTCGAACTGGAAGAGTAATTCCATTTCTGATTACTCCAACACTGCAAAACTCAGCAGAAATTTCAAAGCCTATCAATTAAAGTGCTTTCCAATCAGGGACATTGTTGAGTATATCCCTTCTCCTCCTTATGCAGTAAAATTCAGGCTGCCTTCATTACCTCTGGTTACTTTAATTTCTTCTTTAAAAAGAGAATATTATTTCAAGTCTAGAAGAAAACACTGCAAACATATTTAGCAGGGTTCTTTGGGAATTACAGAGAAGAGTATTACAAAAGTTAAAGTTTGTCAGTCTTAGGCTGAAGCTGGGGACATAACATCAGCAGAATGTTTGGCCTCTGTATAGTTCTTTTACTCTCTCCATTTAGCCTGAGAACATTTTAAGGAACATCAAGCCCCCAGCTGTTTTCATTCATCATCACTTTCCATACGAGCCTGCTCAGGAGGTGGTGTAAAGACTTACTCTGCAGTGTAGAAAATGCACCCTTAGGAATTGCTCCTCCCTCACCTCTGCATGTAGAATCATAGAATGGTTTGGGTTGGAAGGGACCTCAAAGATCAGCTAGTTCCAACCCCCCTGCCATGGGCAGGGACACCCTCCACTACACCAGGTTGCCCAAAGCCTCATCCAACCTGGCCTTGAACACTTCCAGGGATGGGGTATCTACAACTTCTCTGGCCAACCTGTTCCAGTGCCTCACCACCCTCACAGTGAAAAATTTCTTCCTTAGATCTAATCAAAATCTCCCCTCTTTCAGTTTAAAGCCATTGCCCTTGTCCTATCACTACACGCCCTTGTAAAAAGTCCCTCTCCAGCTTTCCTGTAGGCCCCCTTTAAGTACTGGAAGGCTGCAATAAGATCACCCCGGAGCCTTCTCTTCTCCAGGCTGAACCCCCCCAACTCTCTCAGCCTGTCTTCATAGCAGAGGTGCTCCAGCCCTCGGGTCATCTTCATGGCCTCCTCTGGCCCCGCTCCAGCAGCTCCATGTCCTTCTTGTGTTGTGTAGTGTGCACAGAGTTCAGATGCCACAGCGGTCTTGATCATCCGTTTTACAGGTTCCCCTGAGAGAAGCTGATGCATCGTACAAGGCAGCCCAAGCAGGCAGACAAGAAGCAAACCAAGGTCCACTGTGTTTCCCAGGTCAGCAGGAGCAAGAAGCCAGGGCTGCGGGGTACCACGCAGAGCGTGCCGGCTCGGCGGCTCGAGCAGAGCTCTGCTGTACTGGGCCTTGGTCTCCAAGCAAATACTTGCTCCATTGAACTGGCATGTTTGCTGCATTGCAGTTGTGTCAGAAAGATTACTTAATGGGAGGGAATTATTCCAGATTATCAGTTTGTTTAACTGAGACGTAAGAGGGGAAGCCTATGTGGCAGTAGCTCAGTTCCCACCTTCTGGGTTTTAAGTGTGCTGCCAGCAACACTTTGCAGCATTTCAGGGCGTATCCGGGCTGGCTGGGCTCTGGGCACCTCACAGGAACGGCGAGGATGGGCTACGCTAACGGAATAAGTGATCACAAGCAGACAAAGATACACACATACTCTTTCTTCAGCAGTGCCACTATTCTCACCTAGTACTATTGGGTTTTTCTGCCTTAGCTTTCACCATAAAATAAGAGACAAGCTACACCAGGTGTCTGTACCATGTGAAGAAGTAAGAGATCTAACTGTTTTCTGAACAAATAATACGTTAATGTGATACGTCTATTTTATTTTCTTCAAAGATTCTTGTCATGATATGTGCAATATCAGTAATCCTGCCGTTCTGTGCAACAGAACAATTTTTCAAGTAATTAACACTAGACTGAGAAGTGGATTGAGAAGTACTCCTAGGCTAGAACAAGAAATGTATTCCAGCCTGCTTTCATGAGCCTTTTTGCTTCGTTCACAATGTATGATGGGTTTTATTGTCATTTTTCACCAAATTCCTTGTATTCTTAATTTTGTTGCAGTGTTTCGACAAAAGGCTGCTCAAATGCCCAGTGACAACGACAGGACATACTGCGATGCCAGGAAGCCCGGTACAGAATTTAATTTAGCTCTTTAACTGCCTTGATGCTTTTCAGTAGAAGTAGTAGAGATTTGCTGTGACTTGATTTTGACTGATTTGGCATCTGTTTTCCCACATATGATTTATATCCTTAATGGTGTTGCAGCATTAAGACATCAGATTAAAGAAAGAAAAACAAAAGTTACAGTCTCGTGGGAAAGATCTGTAGAGTCAGAGTTACTTTATGCTTTTCTGTTTCCTTTCTCCATTGTGATTAAAACTAAGAAAAGGAAGGATGGGAGGGCTCAGCTGCACACTAATGCCAGCCATGGAAAAGCAGCAGTGTGGGGAGCAACAGTTCTCTCCTGGGTACCCCAAGATCCATGTAAAATGAATTATTCGTGGCAGTCCGCTTGTTAGTTGAGTTGCAGCATATCAAAACGTTGCTACCATAAATCCCCTTAATGGTACCCGAAAATAATTAATAATGTTACGTACAAAACGAATGAACACTGAGTTGCAGATTTTTCCTCCCTCTCCTGTTAGTGAGTAGCAGGTCAGGATTCAAGCATATAAAGCAGCACGTAATTGCCTATTTATTTCTGCAGCGGGGAGCTGCAGTCTCCAGTGCTACTGACATTACTTTTCATGAAGGCAAAACCACTTAAGAAAAGAATACAGGTCCTTCTAGATCTTACTGTATTAGAATATTGGTAGCATACCTCTGCAAAAATTATAGAGAGAGATATATAAAACTGAGTCGTTTTTAGGGGTCTGGGGAAATACACACGCGCACACACACCCCTTTTGCCGATATGAAAAATGCAGTTTTACCTAAACTGGTCCGATCTCCAAATAATGTTATCAGATGCAAGGCATTAGGATCATTACTCTGTCAAAACAGAAGCAATTAGCTGAGATGCACAAGAGTAGAGGTTTATGCCTAATATGTGCTAGTATTGTGTATGATGAAAAGGAGGGAGTGGGAGAAGCCACAGTAGCTGCTTTTTCCCTTCCTCAGTGTATTTCCCTTTGCACAGTCCTTCCTCACTTAAAATAGAGATACTGGTGCATAACACAGCAGATAAAACTGACCCAAATCATAATTATGGCTTAAACTGTGCAGTGAAATAGGTGCTTTATGGCACCTGTGCAACAGCCTCGTTCAGGGCTAGGAGAGCCCTGTTTCATGGCTGCTCCTGTGTTCTGGATCAGTATCCCGATACTGCTGCATGCTCCTGGAGCGAGCTGTGAGTCTGATAACACGCGTCTCCCTGTCATTTCCTTTCGGTTGTGCACCTGTATCATCATCTTTAGGAGGACGAGGTTGCAATGTTTTCTTACCACTGTAATGAATTTAATAATTTGAGGGAAGTAAATCATGTGAAATTTTAAAATGCTTTCTGACCAAATTTCAGGCCCAGCTTTTGAGAAATGTAATGTGTGAAGTTGGAGAAGGGAGGGGGGGGATAAAAAGGCACTGTGGATACTTTTTGCCTTAACATAGCAACAATTTCCTTTAAAACGTCAGTACTACAGCTGTAGTGCTAGAAGGAAATTCTTACATGAACTGACACTAATGGAGAATCCACAGATCAGGGCAATAGTAACGAATGAAATGTTTAAGATGCTACTCTGCTGCCAAAGAGTAACGGTAGAATCCTCATTGATTTGTTGCATTTCTCTCGTGGGGAGGGAAACAGCAACAAACAAACAGAAAGAAGAAAAGGAGAAGGGGAACCACCCTAAAGATGGTGTGTTTTTATTGATGTCAGATTATAAAATCACTCCTTACATGCCTTCGTTGAAAAAACTGCTTGCATCATAAAGAGAAAGGAATGAAATGGGTTCATTATATCTTCTACCTTGGTCTTTCTGCATTTTGTAGCCGCACACAGAGGCCACACTGACGCAGTAACTGATGGCACTGTGAAACACAACATCCCTGCTGAGCAGAAAGAACTCATCCACTTACAGGAGCAGGTGAAAAAGGGGGCAATTTCTGTGGATGAAGCCCTTGACAGATTTAAGCAGTGGCAGAATGAAAAACAGAGACTACAGTCCACTCAACAGGTATGTGTCTGAAATTTATGTTTCTTGACGAGAATCTTCATCAGAATTTAAAAAAAAAACAAACTCTTGTATTTTGGCTCCTATGTGTGAGGTCGAAAATAAGAGTCATGATTTATATGCCCATCAGCTCCCAAGGAACTTGCTGCTTATGGTTCTGAATCTTCTAGATGCCCGTTTCCACTGTTGTTTGATTACTCGAGAGGTTTCCTGGATTTATTTTGCCTGACTTCAGGTGCTGTTGCATTTGGTTCAAATCCTGTGTTAAATATGTTGGTCTTCTAAGACTTTTGTTGTAAACTGCTAGGTGATGCATCTTTCATGAGACCACAAACCACCTGTAGCTCAACAAACCAAATGCACCACTGAACAGTGTCAGCTAACAATAATAACTAATAACAATAGTAACTAATAACTAAGCTAATAATAACTTCATCAAGCGTACATTGATAATATATTGAGTTACAGCAGGTTTTGTGCCTGTCTGAAGGTGGTGAATCTACTTAGTGAAATTCACAGTCGCTAGCAGCGCTCTTCAGCTCCTCTGTATTCAATGTGTGGAGTAAATTGAGGTGCACAAAACCCAGATTTATAAAAGCCCACGCACTGAGTGACTGAAAGAGCTGCATCAAAGCTAGAAGCTAAGGAGAAAGCCACGGTGAGGAGGTTTTTTTTAATTACTTCTAACAAGACAGCTGGAAGAAGAGGTTATGCCCTCATTTTCTATGAGGTCGTGCGTCAGCAGAAATATTTTCTTGTTGTCCTTTAAGTGCATTGAGTAGAAAGTGGAAAACCAAAGCCAGTCTACTACTCTGCAGAGTGGGAGAGCTATCAGATGCTGGCAACAAGGAGAGATGATTAAGTGCTCTTTACGTTTGCATTTACTGAAGAAATAGTATGAGCTTTGTCATCACAGTGGAACACTTAAGAGCAAAAGCGCAAGGAGTTCGAACAGTCGTTTAGGAGCCCGGTTCCCGTGCTGGGCACCAGCATCACAGCAGTGGCTGTTGGGCAGCAGTGTGAGAGCGTGGTGGATGCCCCTTTCCAAATCTGCCCGCGGCCAGGCACGCAGGTGGGAATTGCTGGTGTTGCTCTATCAGTCAGGGGAGTTACCTGTGGAGGAAGATGATATCTAATCTGTGCAAAGACAGCAGCATTAAGTCATAAGTCTGTTTTTTTCCTCAGTTAACTAGAAGATGCCTGTATTTCAAGGATTCACTTGGGCTGTTTTCACTGCTTCAGGAAAAAAAGCTACTTGCTAGTGGTGGTTCATACCCTGCATTGCATGTGTGACTTTTGGTTGGTTGGGCAACGTAGAAAAGTCTTTCACTGTTACCTCGATATGAACATGACAAATTTACTCCACGCTATCACTGCAGTTGTCTGGTCTTCACTGGGATTTTAGAGGAAAAATTGCTTGTCCAAAGCAAAAAATAAACCCCCAGGCCTCTGTAATCTAACGCCAGAACCAATATAACTTACTGATGGGAAAAATTCCACAAGACTTGTAGGTATAAATGCTAAAATTAGTGTCTGCTTATAGCACATCATACACATTTTTCATTTTTTAAAAAAATTGTTTTCCTGAAGAGAGAAGCTTGGTGTTCAGAATGCTAAAGAATCCAGCTTTTTATAGTTATTCATTATTTATACAGTAAACTTCTGTTACTGATTTCTGCTGCTGGTTTTATGCTTGTTTTTTTACTTCAAGGAAAAAGTGCACCACCTTAGAGACACCACCATTGGAAACAGACTAGAAAAGGAAAATCTGAGTGGTAAGTTGCACTTTCTCTACCTTTCAGAACACTGAAGCCTTGCACTGTAAGTATGCTGCAGAGGTCTGATCCAAAGCATAAGAAGACTTTTGGATCAGGCATTGAATTTGTAATGAGTATTTTCTGTATTTAAGTTATTTTAGTGTAATCAGGCTTTCAGCAGGGTCAAGATTTCATCCCAAAGATGAGCTCACTGTGAGTTAATGGGGCAGAAAATTTACCAAGTCTTTGTGGCTCAGCTTTTCTGTAGCCTCTTTCCTGCTGGTTCATCACAATTAGTGTAGATGATTTCTTGAGAACAATTTACTTGATGACTTTAATATTTTATTTGTAAATCAGCTATCAAGTTGCACTTGCAAATTCTTGATGAACTTTCCACTGCTACAGCAGTTTAGTATTGTGAGTCATTAATAAAAGCTGTACACCATTGGTCATTTAAGATGCTTTTTTCCCCTTTGTGATTGAATGTCATCTGCAGCACTATAAATCACCTGCATTTCCTGCAAATGATTTTCTCCTGTTCTTATGAAAAGATTGTATTAGATGTTATTGACCTTAGGCCTCTGATTTCTGTAAACTTCAGTACACCTGCATTCTTAGAAGGGAAATCTAGTGTTTCTTTTTCTCATTGGACTTGGTATCATTTGTATATTACTGTTTAAAGTTACCACCTAATTGTGTTATTTCCTTACTGCAAGACAGAAAAATAATCCATAGTACTGCTTTCCTTATTCTGTTAGTGTTGTATTTATGTAGACTCGATAGTTGAGATACTGTAATTAAGGGAAATTCTTGCTTGCCCAGTGGCAGAGCTGCAGTCCAGACTATTTATATTTCAGCTTTACTGTCCTCCATGGTTGGGAGGTAGCTGTGCAGCATCCTGAGCACATGAACAGGCTCCATCAGCCTTCACAAGGCGCTCAGGGCCTGGGGTCACTGCATTTATTCCTACAGTCTGTTACCCATAGGCAAGGCAAAGCTCCCGATGACATGAGGGCAATCCTTGGAAAGTATTTGTCTGTAGGGTTTTCTTTTAAGGCCACATCAGACCTGCTCTGGTAGCTGTCCTCTCTCTCCAGAGTTCTGTTAATCAACACCAGAATTTCTCCAGCATTCAGTTAATCAACACCAGAATTGTAAATTTTGTGAAACAGTAAGGCTTGTATTATCCAGTAACTCAGATAATGATCGCTTCTGCTCCTAACCTCTCTGCCCTCTGTTACACTGTTTTTCATCCAGTGATGCATAGAAGCCAGCAGCTTTGCACTGGAGAAACACAAATGGGAAGAATCATTATGGAGGCCCCTGTCTTGTCCAACAGAGCACTTTATTATCAAAGATTTAAATTCTTGAAAATAAGAACTTCTAAAAGATGGAACTCCCTCTACAGCTAGAGGCATAATTAATGGCAAGAGTAAAGAAGGATCTCAAGAAGACAAATACCTAAATCTAGGCATAAATAAATTGCCTGAAACAAAAATAATAATCATGCTCTTTTCTCTCTCATAGTTCCTAAGGAAAGCAGACCAGAGAGCCTTCATTTCAGAGACTTTTTGTTCCACATGCCATTTAATAAAGCGGTATGTATGAATGTTAGCAGTTCTCAGATTTGTTTAATGAATTCCAGTTTTTACATCTGTGTACCAGCTCTCCAGCTGTACCTTTAAAAACATGGGCCTCCCTCTCCAGATTCCACCTTTGAAGTCAGGATTTGGATATTCTTTTTCATAGACCATTCCTGAAGAATTGATTGAAGATTTAAACAGATCGCATCGGAAGCCTGTTAGAAAAGGAATATGACTTTATTTTAATGAGAAAAGAAAATATCTGCTATAAATTACTATGGAACATAATTTTTAGTTTCTTGATAAGTTTGATCTTGCTTCCACTGTAATGAAAGTTATTAACGAGAGTGGCACTCAGTTCAGTCTTCCATTATCACATTTGATGCTATCTCAAAGTTCGGGACAAAGGCTCCATTTTCAACTGTGAGTGACCCAGATTTTTTAAGGTATTTAAGGTTTTCCTTGGCATCTTTCCTGAAGCCACTGAAGTACTGAACTGGAAGTAGCCTATTGCCTATGGGAAACTTCACCTATAAGCTGGGCTCATGCACCATGAAATAAAACAGAGTAGTCCACTTACAGAAGGCATGGCAGCAGCTTAGGCAACATTTATGTGAGGATGAATAGACAAGTTTTCTCTAAAATCTTAAAGGACAATGCAGCTTTCACATGCGTTCCATGTCCATACTTTCTAGCACATAGGAATTTTTTAAAAACCTGTATGATGCCTCGCTACATCTTTGGACATTTGAATTACCTATGTAAATCTCATTTAGCTGTTTCTGAAAATGAGATTTAAAAATCTGCCTTCTATTGCAGTTACGTTATGGCACCTTATGTGCCACATCCCACAGATTTAGTCATCCAGCATCTAAAAATAAGTGCAAGATTGCAGAAACTACATAAGAGGGTTTGAATTGCTCGTAGTTAGTTATCCTCTCATAGCTAATCTCTGTAGAACCTTGAACTTGGCTTTAGGGATACAGCTAGTATAGCATAACATTCCTCATCAAAACCGGGAATGACTGATACTGTTTTCCATTCTTGGCGTAGCAGCAAGAACTGTGTAGGAGGTGTCACTGCTTCATTGCTAGGTAATGAGCAAGACAGAGGCCACAGAAGACAAACTGTAACTTAGGTGGACTTCAGAAGACCAATAACAGCATTAACCAAATGTTAAGCTTGACTTTTTTTTATCATTTCAATGCCTGCAACTTACATAATAGTTTTAAATGAAGGTAGGTCTCGGGAAACACGTCAGATGCTAAATAGTCCTACAGTGACAAATGTACCTGTGGGGCAAATGAGCAGTTCAGTCTTCGCATCTGTTCCAGTCTTGGGATCCTTTGCAAGACTGGCAAGGTAGGTGGCCTGCTGTGGAGAGATTTTTCCACAGGGAACTCAACTGAAACCATTTCTTTCTTACCAGTTGGCTGTTAAAATCCATAGATCCTTTAGTGTAAGTGGCCTTCATATCCAAGAAGGACGACTTTACAACAGACTGTTTAATACTGACCCACTCCTGGAAGGCACTGTAAACAGCCAGGTCATCCACTGCAGTAAAGGCAGCCGCCACAGAATTTCCTCTTCCAGATTTTGATTTCCAGATTTGTAGATGCCCATGACAGTAAAGCAGGTCTGGTTTAATTAAGTTTGCTTAACCAGCTGCCAAAGACCAAATCTCTTCCTCAGCTTCATCCAAAAAACACTCAAAAGGGCACTATGCACCTTTCACAAACTGGCAGGTTATTGATTACGTTCGCTTGCCTAAATGTCTGGCTTCATTCCTCAACCCTCATCAGCACCTTGTTTTTACTCCAAGTTGCTATCAGATTGCTTAGTCATCAGTTGATGCCACTCCAGCTTGCAGGTACTTTCTAAGTAGTGTTCCCTTAAAACTAAAAAACCAGCACTTAATTTTTAGTATATTAACCAATTTCCAATTTGAGTATATTAACCAATAATCAGTTTTTCCTTCAGTAGGAAGGTGAACAAAGCCAGACCCTAATTTTGACATTTGGATCCATGGAACTCAAACTTATTTACTCAACCCAGTTAGAAAAGTTGAAATAACTTGGGATCTTGAGGCATATAGAAGCTTTCGTATGAGTAGACAGTGGGGAAGTCATAGAAAATTATTTTTTTTCTTCATGATTTCAGCAGTATGAATTTCAATCAGGACCTCTAGGCTTGAAAATAGTTTTTTGTTGGTAGTTTAAAATAGCGTCCATTGGACTTGTGAAGCTACATCTTTAGCCTGGCTTATTTTCAGTTTCTTAAGTATTTTGTAGCTTCACATGCTGCTCAAATTTAATATGAAGAAAATAACAAAAAAAACCCCAAAACATCAGTTTCCCACCTATTTGTCAGCAGATCAGGTCTTCATGAGACAAGCCCACAGTCAAACTGTTGACTGAGGAATTCACCAAGACAACTGAATATCCATGTACTCCTCAGCTTCTCCTAATTGCCACCAATAAGGACTGGCCATGCTGTTGGAAGTAAGATTTGTACAAAATCTGCCTCATGTCATTCTCCCACACAAAACCTGCCTATTTTTGTGGATGTCTTGCTCCCCTGCTCCCAGGGACACGTGTTATTTATATTTGAAGTAGAACACATAAAAAGTGACTCATGCTAGCTAAGTATTTTGTGAATTATTCAACTTGGAAAGACATTCTGCACTGGCCTAATTTATCAGTGATATACATGACTATTTATTAATTGCATCTATTTCTTTTTAGTCTCCAACTAGGAACCCAGCAGACAAGGAACAGATGCCTAATTAACAGAGGTAAGAGCATGTATATGAACACACAGACAGACATTGTTTGTCATGGAAACTAAGACTTGTGGAAGCACTTTTCAGAGTGCATTCACACAACGATAGAACGGCAGTGAATCTCGAGGTCGGACTTCAGAAGACAAACTATGATCACCATAACTTCTGGTTTATACTAGAACTTATTTTTTGTCAGGTGTCAACTTACTGTTGTTACTGCAGGGCAGATTTGCATGTAGACACTTGCCTGACTTGTGGATGCATTTGAAGAGACTCCCTCTTAGATATTGCAACTAATTGAGATTATGCAGCTAAAAACTGTCTTAGAGTGTGAAGTTGTAGCTTCACATGCTGCTCAAATTTAAAATGAAGAAAATAACAAAAAAAAAATCAGTTTCCTTTCCACACTGATCACACGCGCAGCACCAAACATAATGAATATCGAAGTAAAGTTGAAAGGTAGAGATGCAAGGATGTGTCCAGAAATGCTGATTAACCAAGAGACCAATGGTCATTTAAGTGCTGGAAAGCTTACAGGTGATGATACTCTCTCCACAAACAGCAGAATTTTCTGATGCTTCTGTTGGTGACTGAGTTTCTTGGTTTTGAGCATCTAATGAGATCTTTAATAGTTGGGGGTTTTAATTGCTATT